GATTCACTGACTTCTGCGCTTTAACTAGGAAAATTTGCTAATATATATATATATATATATAGATGTATATCAGAGCAATAAAAAAATAGTATTACACCCTTATGGTGCTTTTACAAGCATATAACAACAAAGAAAGGCTCAATGACAATAATAGAAGAGAAAAACCTCAGTTATATTGGACTGTGAGAGATGAGCTGACACTACTGGAACAAAGACTATTTCCTAAAATGATCAGATTTTGTCAAGAAAAGTTTTTCCCAAAGAAAAAGTAAAATCTATTGAAACTGTGAAAGGCGCAATTTGCACTCAGAAGAGAAAAATTGGGTAAAATATTCCTTATTGATCATAAACTTTTATTCACTTTCAGACACGAAATGTGGTTTAACCATCAAATTTTTTGGCTAGAAAAGTTGCCTCAACAAGAGAGGGGCGTACGTATTGTAATTAACAAATTAAATATAGCAATTAGACAAGATTATCAATTGCAATACAGATTTATCTATCCGTTAATAAGTATGATTCGAATTTTCTGAAAAATTATAATGTGATCAATAATATGTCTAGGCGTCCATGGCTACATGGAGAGATGGCAGAAATCAAATCCTAATAGCGGTGTAAAGTACAATCATAAACAAAATGCTCGTGTCATTAGTATATGAACTCTCTTATATGATTCTGCGTAAGGTTGATCAAGAAGAACACATTGCCCGCATAATAAACAAAGAAAAATAAACTGGAAACTGAAGAATATAACAATAGTGGTTGCATACTATTAATGGGTTAGTGTAGCGACAAAGACATCTGTTTTTTTTTTCTTTTTTCTTTTACTCCCAAAATGCCTCCAGGATTATACTCCACAGCACCACATTAGGACTCATGTCGGGCCAGTGTGTTTTGCAGTAGTGTTGAGTGCTGGACTCCTATCAGACCAATGTGTTTTGCAACGTTGAGTGTGCAGTGGCATGAGTAACTAGGTCTAAATCTTTTGAATAGAATTGAATTATATCTTTACCGTTCTATTGGTGGGATCTTGAATTTTTAAAGTGATGAAAGGAATTGGGAACGTGATAACACTAACGATAACCTTTTTTTTTTCTAAGAAAAAAAATACTGCTTGCAGCGGCAATTACCAAGTATTAATTTATCAATCAATCTTAAAAACTTAAGTTATTAATAAGTGGACCAACAATAATTTTTATATTCTAACATCTAGAGCCTAGAAGCTTTTTGCCAGTAACTGAGTTTCTAGTGTGAAGGAGGATCACTTCTTGCTAGTTTTGATGTACACATTTAAATCTTGCGCTAGGTATTAGAAAAAAATACCATTTAGCTAAAATCTACAGTAATTACGACATTTTGTTTCTGATCTTGAGATATGCAATTTGAATCCTTCATCCCATTGTGATGTAATAATAATAAAATAATAATAATAATAATATAAAACGTTAAGGTGGTTAACTTCTCACAAGATATTAAGGGAGTACAACAATATTCTACGTTGGATTCTACAAATTTCAAATGACAAGAAAATGAAACTCGTTTCTTTCTTGGAGAAAAAAAAAAAAAAGAGGACTATAGGTGAAATATCTTCCCATCTCTATTGATCTATAGAAGAAAATTTGAAGTTTCCACCAATAAAATCAAAAAGACCTGACCATCCAATTCTACTCGATTACAAAATGATTTTTCTTTTTTTTTTTCTAATAGAGAACTAGAAAATAAACTTTGTTTCGCTAAGAATTAGAAAATAAACTTGTTAATAGTTGTTTGATACAATTCCTCGGAGAGGGGAAAAACGTAGAATCTTTGAATAGTTCTGGTGACAACAAGAAAGGGGGAAGTTCTGTGATTGTTACCTGAAAATTGGTCACCGTGACTGTTTCCTTGACTATGGCAGCACTGGCAGTGAAACTTTGGTTAAAGCTTGTTATTCCGAGGCAGACGACCTTTCTTTTTCACTTTGGCGTTTTATTTTTTTGCGTAACTGAAACAATAGGACCAGTCCAAAGAAGGTATTTTATTAATTATGGTAAATAAACTGTGTATGATTCTCATTAATTAATGGTAATTGATTGCAACCAATTGCCAAGGGTTTTCTTTTTTTGTTACTTTTGGATCAGGCAATGATTTTTTATGCCAAATTTGCTTTTTCCAAATACGGAAGGTAACAAATAAGCCTTCACTCAACTAAATAGTAATGACGTATCATAAAATGTAGGTAAGAAAAAGCTACTTTAGTTCGTTGATTCGAGTTTTTAATTTGAGTTGAGATGTGATTTTATGTGAGAGTTTTTTTACTGTAGTAAAAAAGTTAGATGTGACTTTCTGAGAGCTTTTTACTGTAATAAAACTCGAATTGGTAAAATGAACGGAGCCTAAATTTCTTTGCGTGTATGTATTGGACTTGAAGGTGTTTTGTAAGCAATTTCTTTGTTTTTCTGAACAAAAAAACAACATTTGAAAACGTTTTCGGTGCAATTGTTTCTGTTTTTTTTTTTTAATTTTGTTACCAAATTTAATTAAATTTTGAACACATGATTTTGATGTGTCATCGTCTATCGGTTAAAGTAGTCATCGTATATCCATTCCTTTTACATTAGTAATGGCTGTATCATCATATAAAATATGCAAAATTAAACATTTGAAAGGATAATAAAAAAATAAAATCATATTTGACGGAAATGTACAAATTGGAGTCGGGTTGAGCGGCTTCACGTACTGACTATCTCTGTTGTGAATTAGACCCACTTATCGTCAAATCATTTTGGGTAGTGACTCTTCTCAAAAACCTCCAAGTGGGTAATTGGAAGCCCACTCTATCTCCCTTCCTGATCACTCTTTTCCTTCTCTCTCTACAATTGCACCGGCGATCAAAGTTCACCGGACCCCATACTACCGAAAAGCGCCCTTGCCCTTTCTCATCTTTCGTCACCACTGAAATTGGTTCAGAGATCAATCGCAGATGACGCGTTTGATGATCCAGTTGGGGTTGAGGCGGTGGCCGCGCGCAGAAGGAACTGAGAATTGCAAGGATCAGGTTCGCAGACAACGAGAATAAGCGTCGACGGTAGAAGAGAGGAAATCTAGTTATGACTGCACTACTAGGAGAATTCCGGCCATTCTGAAATTAACAATTTAATAGGCATATCAATATTTTCGTTTAAAAAATTGATATAATCAAAATTAAAAGAAAAAAAAAATTAAAGATATATCACAATTTAAAAGTAAAACATATACATTTTAAAATTTAGGAACATATTGACATAAGTGATAAAATTCAAAAAGTATGTATAAGTATTTTTATTAAAAATTTTAACGAAGTTAATTTTAAAAGACATATTGACAGAAGTGACAAAATTTAATAGCACAACATGGATATTTTAAAATTCAGCGGACATGTTAACACAATTAACAAAGTTCAAGAAGAACTTATAAAATTTGTTATACCACATACTACATAGTAATTATCAATATAAATTTAGTTTTTTAAACTTGTCATATTTACTTATTCAAAATGACTAGCAAGATTATGTTACATGTCTATATTTTCTCATGATGTTTAACTATCGAGACATGTTAAATGTATTATTTATTAACTAAATTAAACTATAATAATATTAAATTAAATAAAAGATGACTTAATTGCTAAAATCTCTATCGTACGGTCTCGTTCATTTCACTGATTCGAGTTTTCAGTTTTAGATTTTTTACAGTAAAAAGCTCTCAAAAAATATCACATCTAACTTTTTCTGTTACAGTGAAAAGCTCTAAAAAAATATCACATCTCAACTCGAATTGAAAACTTAAATCCACAAAGTGAACGAGTCAGAAGTGTTTTCTAAACACGTACCTTGTCAAAGAATTCTCCCAAAAGAAAACATTTTACTGTACAAACAAGTCGTACGTACGTACTCCTATCGGCCATTCTTAAATTTCATTTTTGCTTTATTTTTTATTTAAAAGACCACTGATGTTATAGGCTTATAGTAGCAGGAGGAAACAAATTCTAATCGCTCTGCCACCTTATTATTGATAATTAAATTCCCTTATTTAATGTACTCTAAAAGAGTATAATATTAATATTTCCATCGATTTAATTACAAACGAGCTACTAAAATTATATAAATGATGAAACAACATCACGAGATGAGAAGATTTTTTTCTTCCAAATTTTAATAAAAAATAATATGAAATTATTGTTGGATTAAATAATTATTATTTAATAATTACTAGTTTTTGGAGAAAAATGTTATAATTTGAGTTGAACTTGTAACTTGAGTTTGTGTTTAGTTATGTACATTTGAGTTATGGTTTGAGATAAGAATCTTTTTGAGTTTGTGTTTGAGTAAGTCAAAACTTGAATTTGTATTTAGATAGTATTTTAATAAAAACTCAATGCTGATGAAAAATTTTAATAGGGTATATGGGTCAGGTTTTATTCGTCTTTTCGTTATCAACGCATAGAAAAAAATAATAATCTCAATCAGAATTAAAACGAAAAAGTTATAGCATTTTTAAGAATAGAAAAAATATTGTTCATTAATTTGAGTTTGAGTTTCTGAACTCGAGTTGAAGGGAAAACTTGAACTCGAGTTTTAGTCCTAAACTCGAGTTTAAACTCGAATTTAAACTTAAATTTAAACTTAAAAAAACATAAACTCAAATAAAATTATAACTCAAATTATTTTTTTTTTGAGTTTTTCACTCAAAAAAACAAGTCCAGTCTCTACTTTCATTCAAGTGTCATACTCATATCGGTAATATTCGTGGGACCCTAGAGTTGAAAATTGGAAATCAAGGACATGTGTTAACTAGCTACGAGGTCCGCCAATGAGGGAAACAAATTGGAGATCAAGAACACGTGTTGACTCGCTACGAGGTTCGCCAATGAGGGAAACAATCTTCCCAACACTTGTCATCGTCTCTTCACGTGTCATCTATTTACGTTGCCACCTTCCTCACCTCAATCACGTTATAAGATGCAGATTTCAGAGCAAAGGAAAAGGCAAAAAAAAAAAAGATCAAAACGGTGACAAATTGCTAAAACAAAAACACATATCCATCGACAATGGCAGCCAAGTTTCTCGCGATAAATGCCGTCTTCGGCCTCTCAAAGGCTTTCCCTCCAACCCTTTCTCTCAGACCATCAAGAAGAGTCTCCAGGGTCTGCTTCACCTCGGCCTCCAAGCACTCTGATGTATGTAATTATGTATTTATGTATCAACTTTTTTCTTTGTTTTTTCGAACACACTTGAATATATATATATATATATATATAATATTTCATTTTCAGGGACGAAATGCTTGGGAAGAGTCGAGAGATTCGAGGGACTGGAAAGACCCTGACGAGATGACGAACAGGGCAAAAGAATCCATGAAAGAAGGAGAGGAGAGGAGTAAAGAAAAGGCGAAAGAGATGAAAGACAGAGCCAAAGAGTACACGGAGGAGACGAAGGAGAAGGCCAATGAAGGAGCGTACAAAGCGGCGGAGACGGCGGAGAGCACGAAAGAGCGAGCGAAAGACTACACGGAAGCGGCGAAGGAGAAGGCCAAGGAGGGAACTAATAGGGCGGTGGAGACGGCGGAGAGCGCGAAAGAGAAGGTCAAAGACGCGGCGGAGACGGTGGAGGAGAAAGCGAAGGAGGGGACATATAAGGCCGGGGAGACGGCGGATAGCGTGAAGGAGAAGACGAAGGAGGGGACGAGCAAGGCTGCGGAGACGGTGAAGGAGGGGACGATGAAGGTGGCGGAGGCGGTGAAGAGCGTGGGGGAGAAGGCGAAGGTGACGGCGAAGAGCGCGTGGGACGCAGCGAAGGAGACGGTGGTGGGGCCGGATGAGGAACCGGAGGATAAGGTTGGAGGGAATACTATGGATGAGGATGTAGCGGAGCCGAGGAAGCGTGGAGGGCCTGATGAGAAGACTTATTGAAAAACATTTCAAAGTGTTTTTTTGATTGAGCTTGTTAGCTCATGAATCATGATATATGATGTTCTTTAATTTCCCTTTATTACGCAAAAAACAAATAAATTAGCGGTGTACATCAAAGACTTCGTTGTGTTGACGAATTGTGTCAAGTGTTTTTCCTCTCAACTTTTGGCATGCATTATCTAAAATCAACAGATCACAAGCTTCCCTTTGGTTAAAAATCCTGAACATTATCTAAGTAAATAGTTTTTTTTTTTTTTTTTTTTTTTTTTTTTTTTTTTCGGGTAAAGAAAGTAAATTGATATTTTGCTCGTGAAATCCAGAGTGAATTGTGTACGTGTTGAGATAGTGCACTCGAATAAACAAGTAAAAGAAAAATTATAGAACGAATTTTCTGTCATTACACTAGTACAGATTTTCTATTTAAACACAGTTGCACAATTGTTGTCTTTTTAAGTGTCATTAAAAATGTTGTGTCGTTAAAAGTAGACATCTTTCCAAGTGTCATTAAAATTGTCATTAAAATGTTAATGTTGTGTCGTTAAAAGTGGACATCTTTCCAAGTGTCATTAAAATGTTATGTGTCGTTAAAAGTGGATTGTTGATGGTGGAATTTCGTCAACAAAATTACGCCGGTTACCTCGGTGTTTCGTTAGGTTACCAGTCTAAAGTTGTTATATATTTGGATTTTCGCATCTAATGGCTCGTGTTAGAGGTATACTATTAGACGTATTGCTTGAAAACGTGAGGAAAGGGTGCTCACGGATTTATAGTGGTTCACTCCATAAGAAAGAGCTACATCCACTGTATATTTTATTTCACATGTTCTTCTTGCGTTACAAAAAACAATCCATCCCCTTCTCTATGGGGTTTTACCCCTTTTATAGTTTACAGATTACACACGCAACGGCGGGCTGCCTTTGGGGCTTTTTGACGGGTCATCTTAAGTGACCTATCCTCTCAAGTGGCTTACTATCCCATTTACCTAGACCGTAGCCTGTTAGTCTCTTTTGGACTGTTCACTCATTCAATTTGTCTCCCATTACAGCTCTGCAGATCCTTTGTAATTTCCATTGGTCCGTTTCAGGCGGTTTAGGGGCTTGTAATCATTCTCTGTGCAACTGACATTCTCCAAACCCATACGCAACCTAAGGATCTCCAGCTTGTCACCTCAGAGGTCTTTCTTGGGATACAGACTCAGTTGCTTGTGTTTTACCCTCTGCGCCTACGTTATACTTTGTAAGCCGTGGCCTCTCTCTTAGTCGACCCTATCACAGTACTGATGCGAACAGATTACGCAAGTCTCGACTGTATATAGGGTCGACGGTCTCATGACCCCCTCATGCTCTCGGCTCTTCCACCATATGTCTCTCTTAGTCGACCCTATCACAGTACTGATGCGAACAGATTACGCAAGCCTCGACTGTATATAGGGTCGACGGTCTCATGACCCCCTCATGCTCTCGGCTCTTCCACCATATGGGGGGGAATGAGTTTCAGGTGTCGAAGGTTACCTAACGTGGCAAGTATGGGGCCACGTGGAGCATGACCGTTGTCTGACGTGTCAGTGTATATTTTCCCACATACATCTTTCCAAGTGTCATTAAAAATTCTTTGTTAAAAAATCATCTTTTAACAACAGTTATTTTGACACATCTTTTAACAACAGTTATTCAAACTTTTTAACAACAGTTACAATAATATTTGAATAACTGTTGTTGAAACTAATCAAAATGATTATATATATATATATTATTATTATTTTTTTTTTTTTGCATAAAACTTTTGATGTTTCATTCATTTCCGGCTATTACCTTATCCTCCTCATACATACGCAAAATTAAGATTTGCAGGCAATGCAAAATCTATAGAACTTCATGTTTCATAGAAGCTAAAATAATTCAATAACTTCACATGTTAAGTGTTTAAAGTATAATGAAGCTAAAGGTTCACGGTAGAGTAAATAATAATAAACAAAAAAAAAAAAAAAACAAAGAGAGACAAGAGGTTCGTAGTTTCAACAAAGTACCAAGTAAAACTAAGGCTAGATTTCACTCTAGTTCAATGTCTAGAAAGGAGTTTGATAGATCAATTCATTCTAGTGCAGCAGCTAACAGGACTTTGCTGATACTATTTGCCCATTCTACTCGAATTTTATCAATCTCCTATTGTGAATGAGTTTGTTTTCCATCAAACTTCATATGAACAAAGCAACATTATGCAATTTAGCAGATTAAAAAAAACATTATGCAATTTAGATTTACAAGATATAATTTTGAAACAAAAAAAAGAGTAAATAAACATGTATCTTAACATTAGTGCGAACATATGAATATAAGGATTTTTTGGCTATATATATTAGAAGCGATGAGAACTTACAAGTTAATGACTTCTTTCATGCGATTAGGGACTCTAAATCCAATTGGAATAAGGAACTATATTGCTTCACTGTCTGTATCAATGATATTCAGCAACCAATGCTCCCTTAAAATGCCAATTATAATGTTAGCTTAAACAACATAAATAATTATATAAAGCAATAAAACTTAGATTTTATGTTTACAACAGAGGAGCAAAAAATAGTTGGCCAGTGGCCACACACACACACACCTCTTTTAATATTCCAATACCTGTACAATGTTTCTCAAAATGTTTGACTCCGTTCCCTTGAATAAAGAACCATACGAGCCGTGGATAATCTATTTTCAGTTGAGCAACATGCAATTCATTTGCAAGAAAAAACCAACAATAGAAGCTTCAACACTCCAGTTTCATGTGTACTCTAGCTTTACATCTTCATTTAATTATCATATGCTAAAACTCAATAGAAAAGAAAGAAGTATCATATGGAAAAACAAAACAAAAAACAAAAACAAAAACAAAAAGAAATCTAAAATTAGCTATGCACCTGAAAAATTGGTTAAGTTGGTTTCTTCTCACGAAAAAACTTGAACAAATTTCTTTCTATAAGCTAATTTCTGCTGCAGCAACTTAGAATTAACAAAAGAGGAAACAACAACTCTGCCTTTGCTTTTGGATTGAAGGGAGATCAATTTCTACAAAACAGAGATCATATATTTATATTGTGAGTTTTATGCAATTCAACTATTAAGATGTAATAACCACTAGAATTGATAAAAAAATAAATAAAAAAATAAATTATAGATTGTTAAGGATGTATCATGCAAAAGAATTAAGGAATATATTGTGCAAGCTAAACAAAGTTTATACAATAAGAGGGAAAAAATACCTTTCAAATAACACCTCGATTGACAATATGCATAGTGACCATTAATTGAATGTAAAAGAATGACTTTGATTGAATATAGATACCATATGTACGTGAAATGTTTGGATTTTAACTTTTAACTAAAGCAGATTAAAGATTAAAACTTCTAGTGGCCATGAACTGATTCTTTGTATTTGATTCAATGGTCATTATGTCTTTTGACTAGATTACGTCTCCTTCTGCTATAAGGAGATCCACTTCTCATTTCTTAGTGCTTGAGGGACAAACATTTGAGGTAAAAACAAAACCAAACTTTGAGGGGGAACCAATGGGAGAAACGTTACCTCATATTACAACCTCACTTCACTGACATTGGAAATTTATTCGACACATATATATGTCTATGACACCACAACCTTCGAGAAAAATTGTAAAACATCAATGTAAACATGACCAAACACACCTATGATCAGCATCATATTTGATATCTCACCTTTCTGTGACTTTCTTGAGGAGAAAAAGCAGATCCAATATTTATCTTCAAGCCTTTTATTCTAGAAGACTCTTTCACTGCCCCCTTTCATTTGGTTGTACCAATCACCAATCCGGGAATTGTCCACCCTGTCTCTGACTAATTCAAAAGCCAAAAATTGGCGGTTCCAATAAACAAAACCAAGAAGAAAGAGATATTATTATCTCTATTATACCCACAATTTCAAGAATATTCAAAGCCTGAAACCCCATAATTACCAAGGAAAAAAGGGGAAAATTGCATACTCAACCAAGCAAATCAATGGGAAAAAAAAAAAAAAAGAGAAAAGCTTCTCGTAGACTTGCAGACTTTGTATTAGATTAGGAAAAAAAATAAATTTAAACAAAACCTAATCCTGAAGAGAGAAAGGATGATAAAATCTCAATCAAGCACAGTAATTTCAACAAATCGAGGTCCGGAATCGGAAGATAAAGCAACTAAAGAACTTGCAAAGCAGAAAATCACATCACCAGGAAACTTGTAGATGACGGAAAGGGCGACAAAGCGGCAGGTCATGCAGGTGAAGTTGAGGCTGAGAGCCAGATGCCGTCGTGACTCGCAGGAGACGGAGGCGGAGTGGAGGAGATGGTAGGATCGGAAGCAGAGGCGAAAGCGGAGGCGGTCACCAGGTAAAGGGTAGAGTACAAACGAGTTAGTTAGCGGTTAAGGGGTTTTCTTTCTTTTTTTTTTTCTTTTTTTTTCTCTCTTTCTTTTTTTGTTTTTTTGTTTTTTTGTTTTTTTGTTGTGAGACAACAATGTTGAGATTTCAAGCATAAAGGTGAAGTAAATATTTCAATAGACGGCCAACAAAAACGTGATTTCGTGGGCGACTCTCGCAGGAAATTAATGGGATGTTTATTTTTTGTATTTGTTTTTGATTCTGAATCATGATTTATAATTTTTTGTAGTATTTTTTTCTCATAAAAAACACAAATAAAATGAGAATGATTCTGAATTTATAAACTAAACGCCTACTAAATTTTAAGTATGTTGATAGTTGTTTTATACAACTGTCGTTAGATATTGAGATGGTGCTTTTGATGATAGTCATTAAGAATAAATGTCGTTATTAGACTACCGCATAAATAATAGCCCCTTTAACAACAGTTGTCTGAGGAAATGTTGTTGTTTGATGTCGTTCATTCAGCCTTTTTCTTCTAGTGTTAATTTATTCTCTATATTCCTCTAGTTTATAGTGGAAACTTCTTCATCCGATATAACTTTTAGTCTATATTCAAATTTTATTATTACAACTTACATGTCACATTAGGTACATAAATTAAGATTTAATATACAAATCTCTGTTGATACATAAATTAAAATATAAATTAAAATTTGAATTAATCCCTCTAACATTATTTTTATTACAATATACATATATTATTCTTATTGGAAATACATAATGTGTATATGCTCCGGAGTTTTGAGAACAGTTGCAACAATTTACAGTTTGAATTACGTAATTTTTCCCAAAACTTTGTAACACTATAATGTGTAAAAGATATAATCTAGGTGAAGATTAAATAACATTATTTAATAATTCTGATCTTCACCTCGGAGTCTTCTGAAACTATAATAGAACACTATTTGCTGATAATTTGTAAGTCTTGGAGTTAAATTCTTTTTACAACTCAAATTTATTTACTACAATATTTTTTCTTATAAATTCAAACTCAATTTTTTTTATTACAGTGTTTTTTTATATAAAATACTCAAATTCTCGTGAAAAAAAAAATACCAAATAGAGAAGAGTGAGCCGAATGTTCAATATGAGTGTTAGGTATTTTTATTAGTTGGCAATTTATTAGCAATCTTCTAAAAATTCAAAAAACATGTTTAAGAAGATTTTGTATTGCAGAAAAAGATTCATAATCAGATTTGAAGTTAAAGTTGCAGATTTTGTTGAGTTGAGATTTAGAGAGATAAGGATAAAACATTGGTCAAAAGAAGATAATGCATTGGTTATTTGAATTTAAATGGGAGATAAAGCTTACATGAAGATCAAGTTATTTTCGATCACGTGAGCTACACAATTAAGCTTGAGCTGCACATGAGAATTAGAACTTTAAAATTTGACTTGGTCAAAGAAAAGTCAAAGATAACTTGCTATAATGAAAGATAAGGCATTGATGTGGAGATGACTAAGAGAATATTAGATGTTGCAGATAAAGCTGAGGAGGATTTTTTGGTAACTGAATATAGGTTCAAAAGTTGAAAAAGGAGATACGTGGAATGAGTTTATATGGGAAGTGGCTTTGCAGGAAAAGGTGGGTTGACTATAGGAAAAAGTCTTGTGATAGAGAATCGGTGTTTAAGGAGAACAATCTGTAGTTTTTTTTCTTCTCATTGAAAGTATGAACAATTGAAGGGAGTTCAGCAGTTAAAGGTGAAGACGTGTAGTACACGCTAAACAGTGTCATTGTGAGAGTTCATCACAGCGGCGTCATAGTCTAGGAGGAAGTCCTTGAGTGAATAAGCCCGTCAAGGTTGTAATTCTTAAATCATAGTGAAACTGTTTATTGTTTGCGCGTGGCCCCGCAGAGTAGGTGTGCGCACCGAACTGTGATATCATATTGTGTGTTCTTTTACTTTTTGCACTTTATTTTACTCGAGCAACTGAACGTAATTAACTCAGATCTAACAATGAGAAAAAAAGAAAACAACTTCAAGGTTATTTTTGACAGAACCTCTTAAATGTACCTTTTTTGCTTTTTGCCTCCAAAAGTTGTTTACGTAAATATTTGGATCATAAAAAAAATAAGAAATATTACTACGAAAATAAAAAAGTATATTTTTTATACTACTTCACTTAAAAATAAAATTATTTAATTAATAAAGATAAAATAAAAGATCATAATAATACCTAATTATTTAAAATAATATAAATAATAGGCTTGTATGAAATTATGATAAACTATATATTTTTTCCGTATATTTTAAAACTATTTAAATTAAATAGCAGTATACAACATAAATGTTTCTTTTACGGTTAGTAAAAAGATTTTTTTTTCACGTAAATTTTCTTTGTACAATTGTTAAAAAGATATTTTTCACGTAAATGAAGATTTTTTACCACAAATTATTTTTTTCCATACATAAATGATGCATTTTCATGGTTTGTCATGGTTTTATACATCTGTTATTTATTGCATTCTCTTTAGAAAAGCTTAAACAACTATGGCTTGTTTACTAAATCGTAAAGGAATATAATGGGAAAGGAAATGAGATTAGAAATAAAAGTAAAATAATAAGATTAAAGGTCATCCATTCTTTTACATGTGTTTATTTAATTATTAGATAGTGTAATATGTTTACTAAAGTTAGGAATAGTTATTTTATGAATTTAACATAAAATATCCTTTTACACAATCAAATAATCATTAATTGTATAATAATTCATTAAAGGTAGATAAATAAACTTACCATTCATTTTCTTTGATAATGAATAATATTAAAGGAATGGAAAAACTAATATTCCTTTTTTTCATTCCTTAAGTTATGTGAGGCCTACTAAATTTTGATGGTAAACACATTATTAGATATAAAAAATAAAAATAAAAAAATCACTCCTACTTCTTTCTGCTGTCCTTTTTGATGTAAAGTAAGCATGCCCTAAAGTTTGGATACGACATTATTGAAGCCCGTGGGCCTATAAAGAAAAAGGCCCGCCCCACCATTTTATTTTTACAACAAGGGGTGAGCACTTTATTTTGAACACTACATAAAGTGCTCTGAACACCGGTAGGGTCAAAAGTTTGAGAGGCAAAAATTGATGATCGCTACATAAAGTGCTCTGAACACCGGTAGGGTCAAAAGTTTGAGAGGCAAATTGATGATCAAAGCCAAGGACCACATTTGGAATGAAATGATTGTACAGTAACTATACCAGATCAGACTCACAGAGGGTGATAAGCATAGAGGACGATGGATCGCAATCACAGGGTAGAGCCGGCCCCACACGCACACAGGGAGGAAGAGGAGGAGGAGCTGAAAAAGAAACGGTAGCGTTTGTCCATAAGAGAAAGAGGAGTGGTATGGTGTGGGAGCAGTTGTAATAACGGATGCCATCGTCATCATCTTTCATCATCTTCTCTCTCTCTCTCTCTCTCTCTATATATATATACACACATATGTATATACATATATATATGTGTATGTATATGCCAACTCCCCTAATTTCAGTTACGTGACTTGCGGCACGTGCATCTCTCGTGCTAATCAGATGTGTGTCCCATTTCTATTCCTGCGTTGTCACACTCGCACACACATCGTATTCTTCTTATTATATAGTTTATATTTTATATATATATATATAAGTTTGCTTTTAATATTTGTCAAGTTGGAAATATAAAACTTGGGAAAGAATTTTATGCGAGCACCGTTTGCGCCAGCTTGATTTGTCAAAACTGCCCTTGGTGGGCTTTTTTGTATTAGATCAATTGAAGGGGATTCTTTAGAATTTGAGGATTGAGCAACTCATGATACACAATTGGAGCTTCATCGCCAAGTGTTTTTTCTTCTTTTTTTTTTTTCCAGTAGATATATTGGAATTCGAAACTAATGTAATAGTTACATAATAAGCAAGTATATTGTACTCTACCATGTTGTTAAGGGGATTCTTTAGAATTTGAGGATTGAGCAACTCATGATACACAATTGGAGCTTCATCGCCAAGTGTTTTTTCTTCTTTTTTTTTTCCAGTAGATATATTGGAATTCGAAACTAATGTAATAGTTACATAATAAGCAAGTATATTGTACTCTACCATGTTTATCCTTTTTTTTTTTTTTTTTTTTTTTTTTTTTTTTTTTTTTTTTTTAAGAAATCTACCATGTAATTGAATAAATAGTAGAAATATTTGGACTCTGATTGTAGTGGCAGAAATATAACAAAAGAAATTTAGATATCGTTCGTTTTAGTAGTTCGTATCACAATTCAAGTTTTTGTTAATGTTTTATTTTTAAAAAATTTAAATTTAATTTTTTCTGTTATAATGTTTTTTTTTAATTCAATTTTTAACTCAAATTTTTAACTCGAACAGTAAAAATAACGTGGTTTAAAGAATTTAGATTTTACTGCTAGCTTTTCATAGACGGAACATGAAATGCTAATCCATGGTTTGTTTGATTTATGTAGTCAGTGATCCAACTGCAGTTCAAGTTTCCTTTCCTTAGAGTAAATTGCTCAATTTTTTAATTGAAAATTAAATTACTCAAGCTAAATTTTGTTAAATCATATTCATAATATGGGAATTCATTGGTAATGGAGGATATCAACGTCATTCTATAGAATTGGAATTATAAAATCAAAGCCAGTCCCAAATGGAAAGATGTCAGAGAGAAGCAAAACCCCATCAAAGAATTAAAAATTTTAAATAAAAAAAAAAAGAAAAAGGAAAAGGGTATGGAACACTCAAGATGAACAGTCGTCTGAAGACAGAGAAGAAAGTGGAACGAAAGAGAGCCAGAGAGAGAAAGATAGAGAGAGCGAAAGAAAGTAAGAGAGAGAAAGAGAGTTGCTGAGGTCTGACACAGCCACCACCATTTGACAACCGCCAAGCTACCTTCTTTGGGCCTCCCCGCCGCCGACTCTTTTCCCCTTCCCCAAACATCAACTTTGCTTCTTCTTCTCTCTTTCTTCTCCTCTTCCATCTTTGGGAGTCAAAAACTCCGAAAACTATTTCAGTTGTAAACCGAAAGGTGAAGCTAATTATAGCCTTTTTTTGACAGTACTCTCAGGTGTTTCGATCAATCTATTTCCTCTTTCATGTCTACTATATTCTGATCATCTTCTAAAGCAATTGATTGATTATTATCATTTTTGTTCTTCTTCTTATTTCTCTTAGTTGGTTGAATTCACCGTAACTTATGTAACGCCTGTATCACAGCTCCCTTAACCGCACATAACCAATATGCTGCGGTATCCATAAATCATTCTCTCCGGCCCACAGATTATCATCTAGACCTATATATATATATATTTATATATATATGTATATAAATTCTTAATATCCATGTCTGGTCTAGTCAGCTTAAGAGAGAAGGGTGGTTTTGAGTAACGAAAATCTTGTTAGATATTATTGCTGGGTGTGTGTATTGTGTGAGATTTTATTGGATTGTATCTTACAGTTTGGATAGTTTTGATGATGCTTGGCTTGGGTGTTAATTGCTGAGAGGGTTTCTGGTTTTGTTTGGAGAGTGGTGGTGGTGGTAGGTGGATGGAAACACCATATATTTCTCATGCAAGGAAACGGTAATGATCAATTGCCGTTGGTTTTACAATTTCGATGGCAGATTCTCAAATCCGTTAGACTGACACGTTGAGTGGGTACTAGTCCATCTTATCTCATTTCAGAGAACACCCCAAAAACGCTCCAATATAATCCTTCTCTCTTTTTTATTATATAACTCCCTTCATGTACAGTCCTCAGAACTGTTATTTGATCCGTATATAGAGACAAAAATCACAGCCCCAACACAGCAAGAAAAACCACACCAATCCCAATATAACAAACAAACAGATCGCGTACGTTTACACACAAACACCACTATCAAACGGATAGGCAAGAAGGTTCCGGAGCCATGAACAACAATAACAAGCAGAACCAAGATCGAAGAGTTGTGAAGGCGGAGAATCAACAGCAGCAGCAGCAGCAGCCGCCGCCGCCTCATCAGCCTCAAAAATGCCCGCGGTGTGAGTCCTTAAACACCAAGTTTTGCTATTACAACAACTACAGCCTCTCTCAGCCCCGCTACTTCTGCAAGACCTGCCGGAGGTACTGGACCCAGGGTGGGACCCTCCGAAACGTCCCCGTTGGCGGCGGTTGTCGGAAGGGAAAGCGCGCCAAGACGACGTCGTCCTCCTCCTCCTCAGGCGACAGCTCTCGCCACTCTCAACCGCCGCAGCCGCAGCCGCAGCCTCCAGTACTACCGCAAGCCCAGCAAGCGGTACAGGCGCCGCAGAATCTGATGATCGGTTCGAGCCCCATGATGAACTCTCAGTTACTCTACCCAGCTGCTGGCTCTGGGTATTTGTCTTCCTTTGCGGCGATTCAGTCTTCTTTTAACCAACCGCAGTCGTTTGCTCAAGCTCTTATGATCAATTCCGGAAATCACGACCAACTGGGAAGTTCTTCGTCTTCTTCTTCTTCGACTTTGAGTCTCTTGCAGGGTTTCAATGATCACATCCCTTCTTCCTTCGGCTCGCAACAGCAGCACCAGATTCCAGCGTCGGCCCAGTTTTATCCAAGCCCGTCTGATCATCATGATCAGGATCAAGGTGTGACGATGATTAATCAAACGAGTGCAAAATCTTCCTCTCAAGACTGGCATCACAGCTTCATGATGAACAACACTTCTGATCAAAGCGCCCTGTGGAACATGGGAAACGCCAACACTACTACCGGTAACGTTCGTAGGAACACAACCAGTAGTACTTCTGATCATGATCATCAGCCTTCTTTTAGCCCAAACCAATGGCCTGATCTGCCAGGATCATATGGCCCTCCTCCGTAATGATCATCATGTGATGATGGTCATGATCAGAAATGTTTCATTTTTTGTTTTCCTTTTGCAGCGCCTTTGTATACAAATGGAAATAACCCATATTGAATCTCATTTGCGAAACTTGTTTTTTCATGTCAATGTATACCTTGGTTGTATTTGGTGGTTAGGGAATGATATATGAAGATTATATATAGAGTTTTTCTGGAACATAGATTAGAGGGGATTTTTGTGTTGTGGGTATGTATGTATTCAGTGTAAAAAGGAAGACTAATATAGAGGCCATCATCACCTTTGTTCTTATATTATAGAGAAAATTGATATGTCTGGGTTGGGTTAGGTTTGAAATTTACTTTTTGTTTGATCAAAAGTTGAATGAGATGAATGCTTTTGCTTTATAAAGTCTAGTTTTGCTTTTGAAATGTTTTGCTTAATTTATTGCACATATATGTTTATCTTTGGTTAATTAATTAGGGTTTGTGAGAATTGAGAAAACTGGTCTAAGAAAGGAGAATTGTGAGAATGCTCAATATTCAACAATGCATGGATACGAAGGCGAGCTAATCAAGGTCTTTTGAAGAGAATTAGTTGGGTGGACAAAGATGGTTGGTTCTTATGCATGTGGGTGACTGACGATTCGACTGCTTTAATGCATCAACTTTATCGTTCAATGTTTTGCTTTTTATACATGTTTCACTTTACTCTTTTCCCTCTCTCTCTCTTTCTCACTCTCTCATCTCTTGATGAACTGGAAAGACAATGGTGATCATACGGCTGTAAATGCATGCATGCTTCGTGGCTGTCGACGTCCAATCACAATGGCAAATTTAATTGCTTCGAATATATATAAATATATGTATACATATATACAAGAGAAATTCTGCATGGTTTTTCTACTTTTGATGCGTTGAAAAGTAGAAATGTTTAAAACCAACGGATGATGGCTCATTCAATTTGACATTTGCATGCACTCATTACATGGTTAAAATATATCAATGGTTTGTATGTGGAATCTGACAACTTATGGTACTAGCTCCTATTCATACACGCATGTACATATGTCTATATACGTTTATGCATGCTTGATTTTTATATTTTTAAAATTTTCCCACTTTTGTTAATTAGCTGCGTTAGGTTATGGTATAAACGACTATATATGCATAGACTACTTCTAGAATAATAATCAAAATCAATATATAATATAACAGAGCAAATATTGGGATGGCGTGAAGTGGGGATTGTGGTTTCCGAGTAAAGCAGATCTTTGGTCTGCCATAGTTAGATATATCTGTCTCACAGAATAAAAGCAGTACTACTGATTCCTCTCCGGTATACCCATATTACAACTTTGCGTACTTTCATTCCACTTAGATGAAAATTAGCTGATATCACCATTATAGAATTAGGCTCCTGTACTACTTTGCCAGGCCCAGTTCTGGGCTTCTGTAGAATTTTTCTTTTTTTTTTTTTATTCTCAAACTAGCAGAATAATTATACTTTCATTCTAGGTGTAAGCTGTTGCACCTAATTATATCCTGATGATTTATTATTTAATGTAGAGAGATTCATGGATCCGATCTTTTAAAAAAAAAAAAAAATTAAAGTGAACTTCTATAAATTTTGTGTTATTCCGTTCACTTCACTGATTTGAGTTTAGAATTTGAGTTTTGCTACAGTAAAAAATTTTTAAAAACAGTCACATCTAACTTTTTTGCTACAGTAAAAAGCTATCACATAAAATCACATCTCAACTCAAATCACCAAAATGAACGGACCCTTAATTTATTTTTTTTTGTGATTTTCTTACTCTCGGTGATATAGAATTAGGATATCTAATTCTCAGTATTTATAAATGACCTGAACGAAAATATATATATATATATACATATATATATATATGACAATTTCCATATATATATATGAAAATATATATGTATATATATGAAAATACATATATATATAGGTGATATAGAATTAGGATATCTAATTCTCAGTATTTATAAATGACCTGAACGAAAATATATATATATATATACATATATATATATATATGACAATTTCCATATATATATATGAAAATATATATGTATATATATGAAAATACATATATATATATATATGCATAATGACAAATATTTCTCTGCATCCCCCCCACCCACTGCTCACATTGCCAAACACTCATCTTTCTTCCGTCACCAGAAACACTCGCCTTACTCATCTAATCCTGGTATTTTACCTACTCCTTCATTTTCTGCTACACAGTCCAAACCGATGTCCTCCTTCAACACTCGTTCCTCTCCAATTGTCTGTCAATATTGTGACAAATGCGGGCACGATGCCAAGCGCTGCTTTAAACTATTTCCTCACCTTCGGCCCAACAGACCCTCTACCAACCACATCACTACAGCCTCGCATAAGCCTGCACCTTGGATTGTTGACTCTGGCGCCTCCCATCATGTCACTTCTCAGCTATCCAATCTTTCCATGCATCAACTTTATGAGGGTCCAGATGACATTCACATCGCTGATGGTTCAGGTTTATCTATAACACATACTAGCTCTACTTCTGTTTCACCTTCGTTTATTCTATCTAATGTTTTATGTGCTCCCTCTATCAAACAAAATCTCATCTCTGTTGCTAAATTCTGTCGGTCTAACTATACTTTCATTGAATTTTTCCCATCTCACTTTGTTGTCAAGGATTTACCTACGGGGACTCCTCTACTACACGGAAAGAATCGACATGATCTCTATGAGTGGCCCATTCCGAAGGATGTTTCTCCAAGTCCGGCAGTGGTTTTTTCTACTGGTGTTGCTTCATCAGCCTCTCCAATGATCTGGCATGGCCGCCTTGGCCATCCCTCCTCCAAAACAATAAAGACACTTGTTAATTATGGTCTTCCATTGTCTTCTACTATGTCTTCAGCTTTTGTATGCGAATCATGCCTTTGTAATAAAAGTCAACGTTTACCTTTTGGCAAATCAACATTAACTAGTGCTGGCCCTCTTGATCTTATTTATACCGATGTGTGGGGTCCCTCTCCTATTCCTTCGGCTGATGGTTTTTACTATTATGTTATCTTTGTTTATCATTTCACTAAATATGTTTGGCTTTATCCCTTGCGTCTCAAATCAGATGTCTTCTCTGTGTTTCGACAATACAAAACTCTTGTTGAAAATTTTTTTAAACGTCCCATTGTCACTGTTTACTCGGATGGAGGTGGTGAATACACTGCTCTCAAAGCCTTTCTCTCGACTGAAGGCATTCAACATCTAAAAACACCACCTCACACCCCACAACACAATGGTACATCTGAAATACGTCACAAACACATAGTCAATACTGGTTTAACTCTTCTCCACCATGCCAAAATGCCACATAAATATTGGTCCTATGCCTTCCAAACGGCAGTTTATCTCATCAATCGACTTCCCACACCTCTTCTAAATCTCTCCACACCATATGAAAAATTGTTCTCTCAACAACCGAACTACAACAAATTGAAAGTTTTTGGTTGTTTGTGCTTCCCTTGGCTCAAGCCCTACACTTCTAATAAACTTGAACCTACGTCATCCCCTTGCTTATTCCTCGGTTACTCTCTTCACCAAAGTGCTTACCTCTGCTTAAATATCAAAACTCACAGAATCTACACTTCACGACATGTTCGATTTATTGAGTCTGATTTTCCCTTCTCAGTTACTCTATCCTCTGAAGCATCTACTTTTCCTTCATTCTCCGCATCCTGGCCATTCCCTGTCACAACAATATTTCCCACGTTCCCGTCCATGTCTACACAAGTGCCTTCTCCAACAACACCAGTCACTACTGTTTCTGACTCTCGGCTGCTCATAGACGTCATGCCACCTCTTTCTACGGATTCAGGTACCTCTTCTCTTCCCTTATCTCATTCTTCTTCTTCCAAGTCACTGGCCCTTCCATCATCTGCTCCTCCCTCCACCTTACCATCTCATCCCATGCAAACTCGGTCCAAAAACAACATCTTCAAACCTAAACGACTTTACCAGGCATCTACTAAGCATCCTCTTCCAGATTCCATTGAACCAACTTGTGTCACTCAAGCCATCAAACATGTTGAGTGGCGCCTAGCCATGTCAGACGAGTTGAACGCTCTTCTTCACAATGGAACATGGGAGCTTGTTCCTCCATCTCCATCTCAGAACATTGTTGGCTGCAAGTGGGTGTTTCGAATCAAAAGAAATCCTGATGGCTCTATCCCCAAGTACAAAACTCGTCTTGTGGCCAAAGGATTTCATCAACGGCCAGGACTCGACTTCCAAGACACCTTTAGCCCGGTTGCTAAGCCCATAACAATTCAGCTCATTCTCTCCCTCGCGCTATCCAATGGCTGGCCTCTCCGTCAACTGGATGTTAATAATGCATTCTTACATGGCACATTGCGTGAAGAGGTTTATATGCAACAACCCCCTGGTTTCATTGATCAGAACAATCAAAATTGTGTTTGTAAGTTACGCAAGGCCATTTATGATCTCAAACAAGCCCCACGGGCATGGTACACTGAGTTGAAAACATTCATGCTCTCCTTTGGATTCCTTAACTCTCACAGTGATGTCCCCCTCTTTCTCTATCACAAAGGCTCTACAACATGTTATTTTTTTGTCTATGTTGATGATCTAATTGTCACCAGCAACTGCACCAAGTTTCTGCACGTCTTTCTCACTGCTCTAGGCACACGGTTCTCTGTGAAAGACCTCGGGGATCTTCATTTCTTTCTTGGCATTGAAGTTCTTCCGACACCCTCAGGCATTCTTCTCACTTAGCACAAATACATTCGGGATCTCCTTGACCGGACTGACATGGCTGGTGCAAAAGAATGTACAACACCAATGTCTTCCACTCAACCCCTTCACCTTCATGATGGCTCACCACCTACTGATGCAACCAAATATCGCCAAGTCATCGGCGCACTCCAATACTTGTCGTTAACAAGACCGGACATCTCTTATGCTGTAAACAAATTGGCCCAGTTCATGCACTCCCCATCCGAAGCTCACTGGACGGCCACAAAACGACTGCTGCGATATCTCAAACTCACCATGCATCACGGGCTCTTTCTCAAAAGAAATCAACACCTCACACTTACCGCCTTCACCGACGCAGACTGGGCAGGGAATCGTGATGATCGCACTTCGACATCGGCTTACATTATTTACTTCGGTGGCAACGCCATTTCTTGGTGCTCCAAAAAGCAAAAGACAGTTGCTCGCTTGTCCACTGAAGCTGAATATCGCGCCCTAGCTTCATGTGCTGCTGAAGTTCTTTGGCTACAAAACTTACTTCGTG